TCAACAACAACCACAGATGTGCTTGCCAAATTCATTGAACCATGCAATAAATCCTGGAAAAATCGTTTGCAAACAATACCGAATATACCGAACACCGAAATATTGCAAGGCAGTAGTTGGCCGAACCGTGGCTTTCAGGTGAGAATTATTGATGTTTTCATTTTTTTTTTCATACGGTGGCTAAAAAGGAGATAGATGTCCCCCTGCTTTACATCCCAACAATATTAAGACCGCCCGAACTCTCCGTGTGGGTATTCCATGTTAGTGATGCTTCTGAAATGTCCCCACAGCCAGGCGCAGCTATGCCCGATCCTTTGAATACCTTTAGCTAGCGCCTGCTGCCGCTGACCGTGCTTCCTTTTACAAATGGTTGTTGAAGCATAGAGGAATCGAACTACTCCTCTTCACAGCTAGAGGCGATCTCTTGTCCAGCATATCCTTGCACTGCCTGATGCTGCAACCAATCTACAGCACACACTTCGCATTACAATTCTTGCTGAAACTTTTCAAAAGTGTTCGCAACATCCACCACCTGTTCGATGTATCTGCTTTCAGAAATCTTTAAAAATGTAGAATTACGTGCGAAAAATATTAATTTTATGAGTCAGGTGGTTATTAAATGTGAATTTTGAATTTTTATTCAAAATTCATATATGACTAATCAGCATCGTACTGGTTCAATTTACTCATCAAGAGTGAATTTGTTTCCGCCTCTGTCTTCTATCAGAAGGGAAGAAAATGCATCAACGATTGCATTGGTATCTGCAGTGTTCTTACTCGATCGATTACTTCCTAAATCTTTCCTTGAAAAGAAGTTGGGACGGAAACGCTAATCTTCGAACAGACGATCGGCAACTAATCTAATAGCGAAAGAAGCAGCCTGGGGAAGAACTACACGTAGCTTCCAGTCTTCTATTAACAAATTTTTGAAGTAGCATGCAAGCAAATTCGAACTGGATTCTAATTCCATAAAAGTAAAACCACGTTATTGCTCATATATCAAAAAGAGACCGTTTTTTTATCAGTTTGGTAAGCCGAATTTTCCTAAAAGAATAAAAATGAGGAAATAAATTTCACACTATGACTTTTAGGTAATGAAAGAAGTAGACGAATGTCGGGACAATCTTGTCTCGAGACGAAATGAAACGTGCATTTCTCCGTATCGTTGTATGCTCGGTCTCAAAACCATCAATATGACTGAATGGGTGATCGCCTCAAACACTTGGATTGTTTTATAGCATTTCTTAAAATGATCTTGAAACATACCCAGAAATTTTAAATGAATTTGAAGATATTTAACTACCATTTGGATATTTGGATGTTTTATCACTGCGACACTTCTTGCCGATTTCCATTCTTCATTTTGGGCCTTTCTCATCCAAATAATTCCATATAACCGTTCAGAAAGATTCTTCTACTATTAATGCTGTACGAAAATTTATTTGGAAGAGTATTTGGCACTGAAAAATCTGTGGCTTCTGGCAAATGCGTTAGTGAAACATTTTCATTTCAGTGGGATTTGGTTTTTCGTTTCGATTGTAAATTGGTATTGAACTGCTTTATTGATAATAATTAGAACAAAAACGTCAACTCCTAGTTAGATTGTTTTTCTGATAAAACTAGTAAATTTTTATCATTCGTCTGGCGCCAACATAAATTTTGTATCATATGATACTGAGATCGCTTAAGTCACTGATATCATCAAAATTCTCTGGATATCGTTAGCCCACACCAATGCAGTTTCGCAGGGTTCTTCAGGGCAATCCGTTTTCCATTTGTCATGTTCGTGAGTTTATCCAAATGACCATTTTCTGACATGCACTGGTATATAATGCCCGCAAATTGAAATATAATAGAGACTTGAATTTTGGTTGTGTTTTAATCGTGTACATTAAAAAAAACTGCGAAGCATTAAGCATGCTGCGCCATTTCTCTGGACAGTGACCTCGCAAAACAAGGACAGCTTCGGCCCTGCGCTTGCTGCTTGATTATGCTGAAAAATATCTGCATGAAGCAGATGATTTTTAAAAAAGATTTTGACCGATACCATCTACAATAAGAGAGCCTTTTCTGTTCGTTCTGGCTTTTATGGTTTGTTCTGTATTTATCTCTTGAAATAAAGGTTTATGTGATGCTTTTTTGTTAAATATATAATACTTTTGCAAGCTGTGATGACGAATGAAACATATGTTGAGGCAAAATTAAGGGTTTTTTCGATAGTTTTCATAGAGGCACGACTGCCCAGAACGATAAAAACGGCTTATTCGTAGAGCAAATTAAACTGGACAAACGCTTGAGTGAGTTTGAAATGTTCCCTTGCTTACTTTTGTTAGTTAACTATTATTGCTTAATTAATGCTAGAGAGCCATCTAAATAAAAATAACTGTGAGAATATTAATCAATAAACGCAAAAGGCATTTTCCCAAAAATTTGGTTAAACTGTCTCAAATCCTTCAAAAAATCCTGGCTACGCTATCAGTAATGTGAATTTGTCCTCTATACAGAGTACAGTGATTCAGAGCAGTGATAATGTGTATTATTTCTGTTTCGAACTGTGTCAGTGTACTGACGGGATAATAGATAGCGATGCAATACAGTGATAATAGATCATTCTTATCAGATGTCTGGGATTGTACTAATGATCAGTTATGGCTGGATAATTAGATAAAGTGGAAAAAGTTGGCAACAAGGGGATTAGCGGTGTTCTCAGCGATTCCCTTATCTCAACTTTTTTCAGCGGCAAATTACCTACTTTTCGGTACTTTTAAGTACTAGCTTGCTTTTTATCATTCACATTGCAATAATTCATTGAATGGGACATCCGTTTCACTGAAGGAA